TAGGTTATCCCAAAGACAGACAGAACTGGGACGGCCGTTAAAATAGTGCATCAGCATTGGGAGGGTGGGGAGAGAAACTGGAGCAACAAGCAGCCAGCTCTTGGTCCTGCCCAGGAAATCAGGTCTTAAAGGAGAAGGCTACAGTTTGGGAAAATACATCATAAGTACATCTGTGCCCAGAGTGTGGAGATTCTTAACTTCCATTGTAGAATATTTAGGAGGTGGGTTGGAAGTGCTCTGGAACCAGTTATCTCTTCTTTACCTGGTGCTGTCCTCAGACTAGGAAGCCAGGCTAACCTGCCACAGGAAGAAACTCTGAGCTTTCATGGGGTCACTCTTGGTTCATCTGCCAGTAGTCCTAACCTGACCTTGTGAATGGGCTCGCTTGACCTGGCACAGTGCAGACTCATCTTCTCTTCGCTTGAGTCTCTGGTTCCCATTTAAACAGGCTTGTAGAAAGGAAGCAGCTGGGCTCTGGAGGATCAGTCCCCTTTGCTTTTCTGGCTGAGAAAGGAGAGAAACTGGATCTTCATTATGTCTTCTGTTGGCCACTCTTGAGTGAATCTTGTAGCAATATTTGCATGATAGAGCCACCAAGCATAGAATCAGACCAGTGCACATTAATGCATTTCTTCCTTATTTGAGACATTAGCAGAACAGGTCAAGGGACCAGCTGGATAAGCCACCACCTCTGCCTCTGTGCACTGATAGGAAACAAGTTGCTTAACCAGCAAGCTTCAACTAGTGGCAGTGGCAAACGTGCAGGACAGGGGCTGGGAGAAGCTCCAGGAGCCTTTGGGGTGGGGGTGGGGGAGCATCCTGAATAGACCACCTGTGGTTTTCTCAGGAAGGAAAGTAAATTTTTTAGCCACTCTGAAGCCCTGCTGAGGAGGTCTGAGAAAGTCATGTACCTAGGCTTCCTCTGAAGACCTTTGGTTTATCTTAATTTGCAAGGCTGATTTTTCACTCGGTGCAGACTTCCTTCCAAAATGGGATAAAGATTCCAAGAAATTTTAATCTTCAGATAGTTCATAAATATCAGTATTTGTCCTTCCATAGGGCTGTTGGTGCTGAACCAAGACTGAACAGACACAAGAAATGATTGGGGCGGTAAAGTGGTAGAATCCGTCTTGATCATCGGATGACCTTTCAGGAAAGAAGGTGGGGACGTTAGCTTTTCCCCCTTAGCTCTCCATTCCTTTCTTCCCCTCTTACCTTTTGCCCGTTATTTTCATTTGAAAGGTAATATGCAAACTCAACGTGATCTTACAACCAGTGCTGCAGGCTGTGTGCCAAGTAGAATGCTGAATTCTGGAATGCTAGCCTTCTACATTGACAGAATTCCTAGAATAAAAAATTATCCACATTTAGGGATTATCTAGAAACGTGGCTGTGGAGCATCACAGAAAATTTGAAGTGAATTGAAGACCTGTGTGTGTGTGTGTGTGTGTGTGTGTGTGTGTGTGTGTGTGTGTGTGTTGTGTTGTGTTTTTTTTGTTTTTTGCTGCTGAACACTCCTCCTGTGCTGGTCAGCCAATGGTACAGCAGGGTGCTGGGTGTCAGCTCTTTCTTTCTGGCTCTGTTAATGTTGAACAAGTTACTTGAGCTTTTGACCTTTTCTGTGTTTCTATGAAATAGAATTAATATAGTAGCTGCCTATTGGTAGTACACTGTATGATAAATAAGCCGTGTAAAACACTGTGGCTGTCCTTAGAAATTACTTGGTAAGTGCAAAATATTCTTTACCTATTATATTGCAAGAGGAGATTTGTTTCCACATTGGCAGGATGGGAAGTACCACTGGTGGGACCCAACAGAGTCTATGCAGCTATGCCTTTCTTGGTCTGTGAGTGTATCTACTTAGTCTTGGTCTTATAACTAAGTCCCTTCCTCATCATTTATTGCTCCAAGCCTGATGATGATGATGTTACCTTGTTTAGTCTTTGCAAACATGAGATTAGTTTCTCCATTTTTTTTTCCAGTAATAAGACTGAGGACCAGGGAGGGATATATTACTTGCCAAGTCTTGAGTCTAGAAAACTTTGGTCATCTTGTCTAGAAAACTCTGCTCATATAAAAATAGTTCCTAATTACTTCATGGGCCTCATAAAATAAGTTAAAACAAAAGCACTGAGAGGCATAGACCCTGCTTTAGTTAAAATATGATTCTCCCCACCACACTGCTCATCTACCAGAGGTAATATTTCCCAGCTCACCTCTTTCTCGAAATCCCCAGGACCAACTTTTTCTTCCCTGATAGAAAGAACTTTGGACTGAAACCTAAGAAGACTCAGCATAGTCTCAGCTCTACTGTTTCAGCATGTGACCTCACCCTGGTCTAAGACCTTCCTGGAGCCTGCTCCCTCTTCAGTATAATGAAGAGATTGCTCTAAACCCAAGAGTCTCACTCAGATACAGGACTATAGCAATGCTGATTCAGGTGTTCCCTGAATCTTCTCAGAAGTGCTGGGGAAATATGCAGCATGGGAAGTGTAAACTTTTTCTAGTAACAGGTCTCTTGAATACCTCTGTGTCTGTGCCCAGGCCAGGGTTGGAAGGCCAGTCTGGAGCACCTCGTTCCATGCCACCATAGCTGCAGCCCTCCACCTGCACACAGTGCTAACACAGAAAGTGAAGCAAACAAGTATTTTCTGAGCCGTTTACATTCTTTAGAAACCTTGTTCTTTGGAGTTGGAAACATCAGAAAATCTTTTGTGAACACACAGAACTTAGGTTGGAAATGAAGTGTCTTTATTCTGAGACTGGGGTTTATTCCTCATCTCTCAATTGCATATGTGACACCGGCTCTGCACATTTCTAAGCTGGCTTTAAAAAAAAAAAGCAGCCTAGTTCTGCCAGAAAACTAGAGACAGCACATCTCTATCCCAAGCTTCTAACAGTCTTCTGGTTTTGTTACTCAAGGACTGGTAACCATGCAGAGGTCAGATATTGGTACTATGTCTAAGACCTTAGGTGAGGTGTTTAGATGCTGAGGATTTTAAGGAAATAGACTGGGGTGTGGAGGTGGGGAGTAGGGGTATGGCATGGAGTTCACTTCGGCTGTGGTTAGCTGAGTTCCAAATCTTCTGTTTGGTCCTATCGCGTTATCACTACTGGCTATGGTGGCATATGTCTTTTTTAATTGGGGGAGAGGTTGAGATAGGGTTTCTCTCTGTAGTCCTAGTACTCACTTTGTATACCAAGCTGGCTTTGATTCACCTGCCTCTGCTTCCTGCATGTTGGGATTAAAGGTGAATGCTACCATCCATTGCTTGCTTGCTTTTTTTTTTTTTTTTTTTTTTTTTTTTGCATTATCACTGGGGAAAAGATTTGAAGACTTCAGCTAAGTGCCCTGTGTGACTTGCTCCCTGTTTCTGTGCCACTTTACCCCAGCACAGCTTTCCATACAGATCATCATGTGAGGGGCACTGGGGAAGGTGTGAACTCCTCTATTTTGGGACTCACAAGTGTGTATTTGAATATTTGGCCTTTTATCTGTCTTTAAAAATGCTTCAGGGCAGGCAGATCTGTGAGTTCAAGCCAGCCTAGTCTGCATAGCAAGTTCTGGATGAGCCAGGACTACACAATGAGGCCCTATCTCAAAAAAGGCAGCATGTGGGGAGTAGGCTGAAGAGATGGCTTAGTGTCTCAGTAGCACTGTTTACTCTTGCAGACAACCCAGGTTTGGTTCCCTGAACCCACATTGTCACTCACAATCATCTGTAATTCCAGTTCCAGGGACCTGATGCCTCTTCTGACCTCTATGGCACCGGGCATATATGTGCTACACATACATATATGCAAGCAAAACACAAAAATTCTTAAAAATATTTATTGTAAATGGTCATTTTGAACATCAAACTATGAAAATTCTAACGGAAAACTAATGGAAGAGTGAAAACTCTACAACAGTAGTTAGATGCATTCTGAGATGTTAGCATGGCCAGGTAGGAGCCATTGGTACAGCCAGGTGATGGTGACGCACACCTTTAGTCTCAGTACTCAAGAGGCAGAGGCAGGTACATCTTTGTGACTTCGAGGCCAGCCTAGTTTACAGAGTGAATTCCAGGACAGAGAAACCCTGGCTTAAAACACCCCAAAAAAAAAAAAAAAATATTGTTACCAAAGAAAGAAGTAAAGAATTGATCTCTTTGGAGCTGTTAAGTAATATAAAATGGAAAAGATTGAAATAATAACAATTCATCTAACTTATCACTGGACAAGTTCATCAGTGCATTATTAACCTGTTTGGGGGGGGGCACACCAAACTCTGTGAGTGTGTGTGTGTGTGTGTGTGTAATTAGCTTTGCTTAATTGTAGTTCAACTCAGATGATTCTCAACCAGAATTTACCAATACCGTTACAATGCCAAAGAAACCTCTGTTGTATAACAGTCCAGATTGCCCTAGGAATAAAGTAGAAGATTATGATGTCCTGTGTTCTCCTGGCATTGAAAACAGCTGCTTTACTTAGTAGTGTTTAGGAGCATTCTGAAGAGCTGTGCCCCTTCCCTCACTCACATCCTTCTTAAAGGATATAGATGCCTTAGTTTCAAGGGAGACAAAGGGTTCCAGGCTAAGGTAAAGGTGCTTCTGAGGGGTGGGTGACAAGTTGAGGGATGGAGATGGAGTGACAGCAGTGACTCCTCCCTTGGCAGAGATGGAAGGGTATTCCACTGTTATTTAAAGATTGTTCGGCTGCCTTGGTTTGCTGCTTCCCTGGTCTACTAGTTCCCATTGAAAAGGGTCTAAAAGAACATCAAATGCAAGTCAGCAAGCTCTGTCAAATGCTGAGTGGCGGAGTACCCTAGAAAAGTTGAAGGCTGTGGAGAAAGGTAAAGTCTTAGTGACTTAGTGAAGGAAAAATTGGGCTTGGTTGTATCCACATTGTCTCTGTCCAGAGCACCGATTCCACACAGTTGTTGTGGTTGAGTATGTCCACACTGACTATGGATATCTGGATTTGGAGAAGATATTTCATGCTGTTTTCCTCTCTTTCAGGTTTCAAGTGCCCCATTTGCTCCAAGTCTGTGGCTTCTGATGAGATGGAAATGCACTTTATAATGTGTCTGAGCAAACCTCGCCTCTCCTACAATGGTAAGGGCTGTCTATCTCATCTGCTTCCTGATGTCAGGATAGGTTGACAGTTAGGGCATAGTCTCCATGTCATTGGGCTCTGTATAGTGTTCTTTTGGCAGTGATACCTGTGTGGTGATGGAGAACCCACTGTTCCAGAGAGCCTTGGTTATAAGTTGGGGTGGCTGGGGAGTGACCAAGGAAGGCAGGTCCCTGGTTGGGGCTACAGTGGCAATTTTTGAGTATCATGTCCCTACTCAAAAATTTCAAGGACTAGAGATGTAGGTCAGTGATAGAATGCTTGCCTGACGTGCAGAAGGCCCTGGATTCCATTTTAGCAACAGCCCCCATCCCCCAGAAAAAAAAAAATTATTTTGTAAATTTTAGATTTTCCAACAAGATTTATGTTCTTATGTCTCTTACTTGCTGGCCGAAGGATCCTATTGCAGGAGGGCATGTTATCTGTCTTGGTGCATGCAACCTGACGCCCTCTGGGCATGCCAGAAGGCCAGCTCAGGGCAGGCTGTGGCCCTGTCTTTCCACCCAAGAGCCCCTCTTTTCTCCAGCAAATAGCCTTTTCTTTTCTCTATGACTGCCATGCTCTCGGGTCCCCTGCTCAAGCTTGGCTTTGTCCCTGTTACTCATCTCTGCCTGGGACCATGGAAGGAAAGTGGTTTTCCCTGTACCTCGTAGCTCACCACAGTCATGGCCTCAGCACTGTATTCACTTGTGTCCCACATGAGGACTGTTCTGTCCTGTGGGTTGCTGCGAGAGCTCTCTGTAGACACTGCCTTTGTTGTTACAGCACAAAGCAGCTTCACAGGGGACTTGGCCTGAGAGAACTTGCTTTTAGAGTCATTGGGGAGAACTTTATAATCAGATCTGTGGTAGACAAAGTGCTTTCAGGACTATGCAAAACAGAGTCACCTCACATGCTACTGTGGGAAATGGGGAAGGTGAAGAGGATCCCCAGCCCCCTTCCCAGGAGCCCAGGTCTTCTTGTGTGCCATCACTTGAATGATGCTGCTTCTGGTCCTTCCTCTCACCAGCATCTGGGAAAGTCCCTTAGAGCAGTGTTCTGAACCTTCCTAATGCTGCAATCATTTAATACAGGTCCTCATGTTGTGGTGACCCCAACTATACAATTATTTTCACTGTTACTTAATAACTGTAATTTTGCTACTGTTATGAATTGTAAGTATCTGATATGCAGAATATCAGACATGCGGCCCCTATGAAAGGGTCATTCAGCACCCACATATTGAAAACCATTAACTTAGAGGAAGGGAAGGAAGATAGGCCCTCTAAGACAGAGCCACTGTGGTTCCCCCTCTCATCCTTTTCATGAGAAGCCACCTTTCCCTGTCTGGAAGGGTACAGACTTTCAGTTCAGGGATGTCTTGTAAGAGCCAGTCTTTTCCTGACAGAGGTGGGGAGACCAGTTACCTCTAGCCCTTGAGTAGAGTTTATCCTGAGGTGAAGGAAGGACTTCAGAGTCCATGTCTGGCTCCTCTGTACACATGACTAATGCAGAATGGAGACTGTGGCAGCATGGACACCTCATACTCAGTCTTTTTTTTTTTTTTTTTTTTTCTGGAGACACTAGATGTAAGAGACAGTGTTTGGGGCCAGATGTGGTACCTCTTGCCTTTAATCCCACTGCTCTGGAGGCAGGTGCAGGTGGATCTCTGAGTTCCAGGACAGCCCAGGATCCACAGAGAAACCCTGTCTTGGGGAGGGGGAGCACTGTTTGCTACCTTAGTTTGTGTGTGACTGGAGTAATTCAGACTTAGACCAAAGCATCTAAGGCAAGAACTCTGGGCTTACTTTGGTTTTACTGGTAACATATCCTACCTAGTTTCTCATCACCCCAGTCTCACATACTTTACCTTATCAACTTAAAAAAGAAGAAGCAAGTCCAAAAAGATATCTCAGCAGTTAGGAGTTTGGCTGCTTTTCTAGGGGAAATTCAATTCCCAGCACCTGCGTGCTGGCTCTTAGATATCTGTAACTCCAGTTCCAAGGGATCTAATGCTTTCTCCCTTCCACAAGCACCAAGAACACCTGTGGTACACAGACAGACACACAGGTAAAATACCTATACAGATGAATAAATCTTTAAGTAAAATTTTTAAAAGAAAAAAGTAAGGAGGAAATCTCTGTAAGCCATGAGCTCTTGGACTCTCTGTAAAGGGACAGTGTGAAGCTTTCTCCAGTGGTGAAGCTGTATTCTCTTAAAAGTGACTGTGGGGACTGCATAGTTGGCTCAGAGGTTAAAAGCACTTGTTCTTGGCAAAGGACCCAGTTTGAGGCTCAGCACTCACATGGAGGTTTACCGCCTCCTTGGACACTAGGCACACATGTGATGTGTAGAAATACATGCAGGCAAAACACTTATACACACAAAATAATGAAATAAATCTTTTACAGCTCACAGGTAGTGTGCATTGCTATGGTGTGTAAGGCTTGTGACCTACGAATCTATACACATTCACTCACACCTTCCACAGGTGCTAGCACCAATTGAGGAAAATTCAATAAAATTTATGATAGTTATGTAAGATGAAATTTAGTTAACACCAAAAGAAAAAAAGTAGGAGCCTCCTAAATGAGGCAGATAGAAAGTAGTATTTTTCTTATTATGAGGGTTGGCCCAAGTGGAGGGCTGGAAGGCCTCCAGCATTTGCCTGCCAGATCATTTTTTAAAGTTTAGCGAAAGCAAGACCAGTTTTACTGGTCCAGCCAATGCACAGAAATAAATGAGAACTGACACCTAGTGCTGCTAGGGCAAGGACTAACCATGGAAGGCCAGCAACCATCAGAGCCCCTGCTAAGGGACAGCGGAATAAACCCCAAGCAGCAGCCATTTCTATTCCTACCCTCTGGACCTTCCTAGCAGCCTAGGACTCTAGAAGCTGAGGGGTTTACAGAGAAGAGAGGAAGGAGGTAAGGAGCCTTCTGGGTGAACTTGATTGCCTTTAATACCTATGTCTTTCTCTTCCTAAAATCTCTGGTCATCATACCACCCGGCTAGCAACACAGAAGCTCCTGAGATGGAGATAAGGCTTTCCTTAGCAGAAGAGCATTGTGCCAGGCAGTTGTGGCGCATGCCTTTAATCCCAGCACTCAGGAGGCAGAGGCAGGCAGATCTCTAGTTCAAGGCCAGCCTGGTCTACAGAGCAATTTCCAAGACAGCCAGGGCGACACAGAGAAACCCTGCCTTGACAAATCAAGCAAACACTATGCTGTCTTCTGGCCTCCACTGTGTGCAATGGTACGCACCCACATGTGGGAGCGTACACTGTGTGCAATGGTACGCACCCACATGTGGGAGCGTACACATAGGAACACACAGCAAATGAAAAGGAAGGGAGCAAGGGAAGGGAGAAGGCAGAAAAGAAGGAAGGAGGAAAAGCTCACACAAAAGCATTTTCAGAGCTCTGAAGACAGGGTAACACCTCTGGGCAAAGAGGGGGTAGAACTTCATAAAGCAAGAAGCCAGACATGGGCCTGTACCCCAGAATAGAATCCGGGACTCTCCTGAAGCAGCGGTTTGGTTGCCATGTCTTTGACACTGTTACAGAACACTTGCCTTATCAGAATATTCCTTTTCCTTCCTTTCTTCCCCCTTCCTTTCTTTCTTCCCCTTTCTTTCCTTCCTTCTTTCCTTCCTTCCCTTCCTCCTCCTTTCTTATCTGTGTTTGCTTGATTTGTCAAGACAGGGTTTCTCTGTGTCACCCTGGCTGTCTTGGAAATTGCTCTGTAGACCAGGCTGGCCTCGAACTAGAGATCTGCCGGCTTCTGCCTCCTGAGTGCTGGGATTAAAGGCATGCGCCACAACTGCCTGGCACAATGCTCTTTTGCTAAGGAAAGCCTTATCAAGGCTGTGTGGGGCTGTGTGGATTCCAGGGTTAGACTCAGGTTCTCAAGTTCTGCAATAAGTTACCTACCATGCCATCTTACGTACTTTCTTGGAGGAGGTAGGACGTGTATTTGCACAGGTATGTGGGTACAAGTAAAGGCCAGAGGTTAACGTCAGATGTCTCTCTCTCACCTTTAATTTTTCTTTTTTTTAAGATTTACTTTTTTTATTTCATGAATATTTTACCTGCATGTATGTGTGTGCACCACATGCATGTCTGGTGCCCTTGGAGGTCAGAATAATGTATCAGATTCCCTGGAAGTAGAGTTACTGATGTTGTAAGCCTCTGGGTGGGTGTTGGTAACTGAACCCAGGTCTTCTGCAAAAGCAACAAGGGAACTTAACTCCTGAGCCATCTCTTTAGTCCAAGGCCCTTGGCTTTGTGCCATAGAAGTGCTTGATAGCCAAGGCTCTGCTTCAAGATTTCTACTCCCCTTTCCAATCGCAGGAACATCTGGCAGCTGCTCATTCTCTGAGCCCTGATGATTGAATCAGGGAGTTTTAAAGAGAACTTAGAGTCCTCTGCTCCCTAGGTTCTGGGCTGGTTGTGGGCACTCCTGGGTTCCCCACACTGTTTTCATTACCTTTGGCGGCGGGAAGAGGGGACTGGGGTGTCAGAAGACAACTTGGCAGCAGTTGGTTCTCTCCTTCACCATGTGGGTCTGGAGAGCAAACTCAAGTCTTCAAACTTGTGGCAGGCAACTTTATGCAGTAAGCCATCTTGACAACCCAGATTCCAACCCTCTTACTCCTTCAGGCCACCATAGAACCTCCAGATGGCCTTTCACAGTCTCAGTGTTTTGTGCTCCCTGCTCTGTGTCAGCCTAACAGGGCAGCTACAAAGTCTCATTCTTCACACTGTGCTGCAGCAGACACCAAGGCTGGCTGGTAAGGCTCATAAAATTGCTTTGTGAAGAGACCATGAGAAGTCTGCATTTAATCAACAGACATTTAAGTCTGGGTCTGCTAGTCCTTCATTAGCAAGTGTTCAAGGCTCTACCTATGGAGACTAAATGAATCACCCTTGTTTTCCCTGCTCTTGTTTGATGTACATTTTGAAGAAAGAAGAGTCAAGTCAGTCCTGTTGAGATAGAAAGCCTCTGAGCCCAATCTCCATATCTGCTCCACCCCACACTAGCACCCTGGGGGCCACATGGGCTCTCAGAGCAGGTGCAGATGGAACAGTGAGCACAGAATGTATGGGAAGCTGTTGGGGACACAGAAGAGTCTAACTTGGTTCTTGAGTTCAATGCTGAGTTACCCATTGGTAGGGTGATTCTGAAGGAAAACTGATTGGAGTCTGGGGGAAGAGGTGGACAAAGGGTATGAAGGACTATATCCTGAAAGCCCGTATCAGGGGTGAGACGTCCCAGAGAATGGGGAAGAAATGATGACTCCACTGTCTCTAGAGTAAGCAAGTTTTCCTCCCATCCCTGTTGAGGGTTTTGTTCTCCATCATGTTACCATGAAAAGCATCAGGCATATCAAAGTTGAAAGCCTTTGCAGTGAACATCTGTCCCTTGTGTCCTGCATTGTATTATATCTCCTTTGTTCACAATCCATCTTAGCCTTTGAATATATTCTCAAGTAAAATGCAAATTCCAGTTGTCTTAGCCACTATTCCATTGCTGTGAAGACACCGTGACCACAGCAGCTCTTAACAAAGTAAAACATTTAATTGGAGCTGATTTACAGTTTCAAGGGTTTAGTACATTATCACTGTGGCAGGAAGCATGCAGCATGCAGACAGATGTGGTGCTGGAGAGATGGCTCAGAGTTTCACATCTGGATCAGCATCTGAAACCCCAAAGCCCACCGCTAGTGACACATTTCCTTCAACAAGCCCATTATCTCCTATTGCCTGCCTAATGACCAGACATTCAAATATATGAGCCTATGAGGGCCATTCCTATCCAAACACCTCATCAGTGCACTTCTTTTTTATTTATTTTTGTCTGGTTGGTTGGTTTATTATTGTTGTTGTTGAGACAGGGTTTCATTGTGTAGCCCTAGCTGTCATGGAACTTAATTTGTAGGCCAGACTGGCCTCTCAAGTGCTAGGATTAAAGGCATGCCCCACCACTGCCCAACTGAATAATCCATATTTTGTGGCTTCTTAATAGTTTTCTTTCCACCAAAATAATCAAGACACAAACAGCAGTGGGAAGAGAGGTCACCACAACAAAGGACCCCAATCCTGAACATTCTCAAGTCCCCTGACAAGGGCAAGACATATGACTTCTCTGGGTTTCCTCATTCACAAGATGAGCATGACTCTGTGACCCTTGCCTAGCGTGTAAGATCCTGCAGCTCAAAGGAAAACATAGACACAGAATCTCATTGTGTGTCATTTGATGGCCTGTGCAGTGGAAAGTGATCTAAGCTAGTCTTCCTCAACAGCCATGGCCTCCTCATTTGGTGCTCTGTTGTGGTTTGGGGGGGGACTTGCTTGTAACCCATATCACCTCTGCATTACCAGGCCTGTCTGTGGCTTTTTTGGAGTTTAGTCTAAGTGTTTTCCTTGGACAGTCTCTTTAGTCTGTTCTCTGAGCATGTTGCTCCACATCTATTCTGAACCTCACATCTAGACTAAAGCAGACTTATGGCCCTGTGGAGATACTCAATAGACACCTCTGCATACATCCCTCTCTAACCCTGCCCTTTCCTATGGAGTATCTTAATGACATATGCAGGCTATTGCCCGACACTTGTTAGCACATGTGCTGTTGCTCCATGCTCAGAGTTGACCTCCAGAGTGAGCTCGCCTTCTCCACCTCTAGTACCTCTTGGCTAAGCAGAGTAGATGAGAGTCAACAGGCGCAGCACAGCACAGCACAGTTCTGCCCTTGGGACTTGATTTCACCTGTCTGTGACTCCTTCAGTCTCTTTGCAACCTGTCTTAGCAGACTTCTTGAAGTTCCCAGGTGTCTGACAGTTCCTTTGTCTGGAATTTAATCCCTCCCACCCAGACTATGCCTCTGGCTCATATTACTGTGAACTCCAAAGATGTCCTTGAACAAACAGTCTGAGTAAGCACTTTTCTTCCATACCCCTAATGCCTGGGCTTCTGGGTCAGAAGACTCTTCTGGTTATCTCGTATTTCTCCCATTGCTGTGTTCCCCAGCATATGAAGCATCGGGGTTTAGATAATGCAAGTAGTTCTAGACCTGGGTTTGTTCTGTGCCACCCACCCACTAGTGATTAACTCTGTTGGTCTCCCTGTCTCTTACAGATGATGTGCTGACTAAAGATGCGGGTGAGTGTGTGATCTGCCTGGAGGAGCTGCTTCAGGGGGACACGATAGCCAGGCTGCCTTGCCTGTGCATCTATCACAAAAGGTACAAGGGCCTGACAAGAACAACTCTCACAAGTCTCACATCCAAGGGGTAGATCCCCTTCACCAACCATCCTCTTTGGTTATGGGATGGCCTGTATACCCTTTGCTCTCTGATAGGGGTCAGGCATCTTCTGTGCTGATGGGAAGCTCAGTCATTGCAAGGGCAGGGTGGAGGTGAGTTGCTCAAGGTTCAGCTCTGCTTCAGTCGTTCAGATGGTAGGAGCCATGGGCAGACCTGGCTTAAAGGGATCCAAGATCCCACCTCTGAACCCTGTCCTGCAGAGAGAGAGGTAGCAAGGGTAGAATGGCTGTCCTTGCTGGCCTGGACACCATCCTCATCCCCCAAGGGCCAGGAGGCAGGAAAAGCCAGTACCTATAAGTACCAAGAACTGCTGTAATTAGCCAGGCCAAGATTTGTCCTCTGCCTTTAGCAGTATCCTTTGGGGTTGTTTGTTTGTTTGTTTTCTAACTGGAAAAATATGACACCTCCTTGCCCAAGACAAGAGTACACTCTGTATTCCTGTGGCCACCACCTGCTCTCTGCTTCTCCAGCCCACACTGTTTCCTGGCATGGGGGCTTCTCTAAGCCCAACCCAGAACTACTGGCCTTGAATATCGATGCTGTGCCTGGTGTGTGATTGACTCTGGTTTCTACCATAGATTCTCTGTAGTATCCCAAAGAGACACTAACCAGAGCCAGAAAAGAAAACCCCTGGTCCTGGGAAGACCTAAGCAAATTATCTGTTTGGTCTCTGTTTGAAAATGCCCAGATGTGGGTTTACAAATCAGAACAGTGTCTTGAGGCACTTGCTATTTCTTCTTTGATGCAGACAGTCCTCTATAGACTCTGGAGAGTGAGGCCTTCCTATACCCCTTCCCAGGCTTCCTTATTTAGCAATGTCAAAGAGCCCAAGGGTCTAGCTTGGAGATCCTGAGAGGGGTGCCCTCATCTCCCCAGATCTAGCTATGCTTATCACTGCCAGTCTCTCATCTGGCCCCACTTCCTGCCGCTCCTTAGAAACAGTAACTGGCTGCCCTTTGTAGTCCACCTGCTGTCACCTTCTTAGTGTTAACTGTTGCCATCCTAGGCGCCTTGTACTTGGGATTTGGGCCTCACAAGGCCACTCTTGCCTTTTTATGCAAAGCCAGATCTACCAGAGCCTGCCCTACTGCCCCTGCCTCCTGCTGAGCCAGGATCATTCTTGTTTTGTTTTGTTTAAAAAAAAAAAAAAAAACGTATTTATTTATTTGATTTATTGAGGCAGGGTCAGCTGTCCTAGAGCTTATTCTGTAGATTAGGCTGGCCTTGAACTTACAGAGATCCACCTGCTTTTGCCTCCTGAATGCCAGGGTTAAAGTTGTACACCTCCACACCCAGTTTTTGTTTTTGTTTTTGTTTTTTTGATGTGCATGGGTATTTTGCTTGCATGTATTTATATAATGTGTGTGATGTGTGTGCCTGGTGCCCACTGAGACCAGAGGAGGGCATTGAATCCCTGGGAGCTGGAGTTAAAGATGTTTGTGAGCCACTATGTGAGTGCTGCAAACTGAACCTTGCTCTTCTGAAAGAGCAGCTAGGGCTCTTAACCACTGAGCTATCTCCCCAGCCCCCAGGGTGGTGTGTGTGTGTGTGTGTGTGTGTGTGTGTGTGTGTGTGTGTGTGTGTGTGTCTGTGTCTGTGTCTGTGTCTGTGTCTGGGTCTGTGTCTGAGTGCAGGATCCTACCAAGGCCAGAGGGGTCAGATTCCCCCCAGAGTTGCATTTATGGGTCTGTGAACTGAACTTGGGTCCTCTGGAAGAGCAGCATGCACTCGCAACTACTAACCCTACTCTCCAGCTCTGCCCCTGCCCCTGTGCGCTCATCATTCTTGATAGTGTTCCCTTTGCTACAGGTGGGGGGCGGGTAATGATTTTCCCCTGGGATCCTTTCAGGAGAGATTTAGAAAGTCCTTTCCGAGAGTCCAACCCCTTGACAGGCCCCCTTGGCAGGAGGAGTATTGTTAGCAGCTGATGTGTTTCCCCTTGGCACCCACTCCAGCTGCATAGACTCCTGGTTTGAAGTGAACAGATCTTGTCCAGAGCACCCTGCTGACTGACCCTGCTGGGCTGGCTTGCTGACTCCTCTCAAAGGTGAGCCCATAATTGATGGGGACTCTGGGCTTACAGGGTCAAGTTTCTGGGAGCTGGGGAAGAAGGGCCAGGCTGCCTGATACACACCCCTCAAGAAGAAGGCAGGAGCAGTTAGTTCCCAGGATGTAGAGGGCTTTCCTAGGGAAGCATAAGAGAGGGACAGCAGCATACTCATGAAGAACTCAATGCAGAGGTAGACTCTCATTGCTTTCCCTAAGGAAAGGCAGAAATATCCCCCGCAGGGTGCATCAGCTGGAGCAGATGAGCCCTAGCCAGGCTCTGCAGCTGTCTCATCGTTGCTCACCTCTCAGAGTCAGGCTCCATGGCTCCTTTCCCTAGAAATGGAAGAACCACTAAATAGAGGGCTGCCCACTGCAGAGAGCTCATGTGAGGTCTTCCACTGCTGGCTCTTCCACCGGCTGCCCACCTTACCCAGTGTCTAGGGGAATCTGAGGACTCTGGGCCATACTCAGCAGTGTCACCTAACAGCAGGCCAGCATGGCAGCGGTCTCCCACACATACATAGGTGTCGCCAGTGTAACTGTCCCATTTCCTCCCCAGGCTACCTCGTTTAACTGCTGACCCTCTCCTGCCCTCCACCCTTCCTGTGCTTTCTGAGGTCTATGCTGGCAACCTCCCCCCCCCCACCTCCTCTCCCTTCCCCTCGGTTCCTCCCTCTGCTCCCCCCCCCTTCCCTTTTCCTGGTAAACAGAACATAGATGCCAGAAAAACCAATAGCCCATTTCCCCTTCATCTCACATCCATAGGTTTGGGGGATCTCTTTTCTTCTCTTTCTCTCCTTTGTTCTGTTTTCTTTTGTTAGGTTTATTTTATTTATTCCAAGTAAATGCCCAGACCAGCTGACGGTGTCAGGCAAATCAGGGACATTTGCTCTTTTTACCTTCACCTCAAAACCTGATGACAAGGGGAGAAGACAAAGCCAGGCTGAGTGAGGCAGGGGATTGGACCCTGGCTTCAGAGTGCAGGTCCAAGTTGCCGGCTTGATGTTTGGCTTCCGGGGGCCTTCCTGGGCTGAACCAGATGCCCCTGCCGACCAACCTGCCCTCGGGGACACACTGCTGCCACCGTGACATGCAGCAGCAGCTCTCGACCAGATGGAGCTGACTTCTTCCGACCCACACAGGAACAGACAGCCCTGTTCCTGAGAGGAGGCTCCTCGGACACTGGACAGGGCACCCCTTCTGCACTGACTTCCAGAAAATGGTCCTCCTTCCTCCCTGAGGACACCCAGCTGGATGAGAGCGAGTCTGAGAGAAGAATGAATTGACCTCTATCCTTCCCCTCACCCTCAACCCAGGAGGGAAAGGGCATTTTCGTTTTCACCTTTGAAAGGCGTTGTGGGTCTGTCTTTAAAGTGTTTACAACAACAAAAAAAAATCTATAAAAAAGTCTAGTGTCGACTGGTGTTTTCCCTCGTGATGTTTACAGATTGCTGTTTGCTGCCCAGCTAATACCCACTCAGTGACAGAACCAAGCATAGCCATGTCTTCACCGCTAGCACTCTGACAGCGGGCGGGCGGGCGGGCACACTGTCACTTCCTTTGTCCAATGCCCCAGTTGGTTCTCTGTGTCACCAACCTTTCTACTTTGGGGATTTGGTTTTCTGTTTTCTTGTTTTTCTGTCCCGTCTTTCTGGCTTGGTTTTGCACTTGCCTCCCCTTTGATAGCTTAATTTCCTTGCCAAAAAAGAAAAAGACGAAGAAGAGCCCATCGAGGATCCTTCCCCAGGCCATCCATTCCCATGTCTTCCCTGCCTTCCTCCTGGATCTGGTCCAATGAGAGGATTTAACAATCACAAATACACTGAAAAAAATGTCTGGATAGTTTTCTTAGGCCCTTGTGGGTTGTTGGGTTTTTGTTTTTTTCTTCTTCTTGTTCTTCTGAGAAAACTTAGACTTTCTAAGGGAACATGTACTGCTACCCCTGTTTTCAGGCACACTGAGAACATTTTAGCCATTGATGTTCACACGTGGCATCAGCCCATGCAGGATAGGTTTCTGTATTTATATATTAAAATACAAAAAAAATTAAAACCTTACAAAATGTTTTAAAATTGTTCAAAGCTCGGGAGAAAAGCTTTCCTTCACCAGTCAAGGTGTTTTGATATGGTATTAAAATAATGTCTAATAAAAGATGCACCGTGTGATCTTATTTTAATGAGGTGTTGTTACACAGTCAAGAAGTGGAAAGCGAAGTCCAGTTCCCTCTGTCCACCTCCCTAGCCCAGCACTCCGTCAGCACCTGTAGTGGCTCTCAGCCACTCCTGGGCAGAGGGAATGGACAGTGCTGGTTCAGGTGTGTCTTTCAAGTTTATGAATTCTTAAGCACCGTGGAGTAATTGTAGTCTGCTGTCATTGCTGGTTGTGATGGAATGTTTCTGGGAAGATAGTCAAGGGCAAAGATCTTGCAGTCATTGGGTGCTGCAAGGATCTAGGCACCTCCAGGTGCCAGCCCAGCCGTCCCTCACAGCCTCTCCTTCCCATCCTCTATTCTGCTCGCCAGCTCAGTGCTGACTCATGGGCATGCTTCGCTGAGGGCCAGAAAGAGGCCCTGGTTTGGAACTGTGCCAGCTCACAGTCTCTGAACCAGAACCAGTCACTCAGCTTCATAAAAGTTGGCAAGTTGCAGGCTGGGCAGGAAACTCAGGGCAGGGGGCGGCAGTGTGTGCCTGCCCTACTCCTAGCCAGGTTCCAGGAGTTGCATTCTAGGGCCTCCTGCAGAGCCAGCTAAGGAAAGCTCTGGAGGGGGATGGCTACATATATCTGCCATGACCATTTCCAGACCTGCCCCTTGTACTGCTGCCTCAAGGCCCAGTCTCAACGGGCCCTCAAGTTTGGACTGTGCTGCCATTATTGCTCTGAGGTCACCTTTCCTCAGATGCTTCCTGAAGCAACTACTCTGCAAGGACATTTGTTGGAGGCCAGTGGACACATGTGAGCCAAGGCAGGCAGGCAAGCTCAGAGGACCGAGTGTTGAGACCTCGGGACCTGAACTGTGGGCACTGTTAATACCAGAAACTGGAATGTCTGTACTGGGGCACTTCTGGGCAGAATGGTGAAGACATTTCCTCTGAACTTGGTTCCTTGCCTGCAAAGTGGGGACAGGGATCTGCTCCAAAGGCCTAACACATGTACAGCAGGCTTCCTTGTAGCTTTGTCACTGCAAAGGGAGGGAGGGAGGGCACTGTTCTATTCCCAGCACCTCCAGCTTCTGCCTGGCAACTGTGTTCCCCTGTTCTATATATAACCCTACCAGCAGAGCTGGCAGGGCAGGGCCCAGCCCTGAAAGGGATCTCCTTGCCTGACCCCTGGGCCTGGAGACAGGCTGTGTGTGCCCAGCTGCCTTGGCAGTGCTGTGGCTGAGTCCGGTGGTTGAGTTGGTTGGGGCAACGCTCGCTGGGCCCCACACTGGGTGCTATTCTAGGCTCTCTAGGCGGTGCTCATCTCATCCCCCTTGACTCCTGCCCCCACCTGGCACACCAAAGCCCCCTGTTGGCTGTCATGTCCTCTCACTTTGGACCCAGATTGCCAGTGCCTGGTGCGAGGGTGGACTAGGCTTGTCTGGGCTTCCCAGGTGACTCTTGTGTTTGTCACCTGCCATCCAGACAACTCTAGAATCCTATGTTGCTTCTGCTCTGCCTTTCTGAGAGGGAAGAAATATGGAAGAGCCAAGAGATGGGTTCTTCCCCTTTGTGCTCTTAGGAGCCCAGAAAGCCTTCTGAGAGCTCCAGGAGCCCCTTTTGAAAACCGCCCATCTATTAGCCATTTAATAGTATTGAAGCTCATAGGAGAATGTCCTTCTTAGGAGATAGACGCCGAATTATATAGTTGAGTGATTTCAAGAAATGTATTATCTAACCCCAAATGGTTTCCCCCCAAAAATACACAAAGCAAATAAGGCAAAAATGTCCATTGTTGAATCTTCCAACGACTGATATTTCAGTGAATAGTGTACCTGTTCTTTCAACTTTTCTGTATGTTTGGAGTTTTCTTTAATAAAAGAAATTATGGGGAAATGACTGTTTATTGAGTGCCTACTAGTTTCCTGGAGGGTGTGGTAGGAGCCCTGCCCAGTGGAATTCAATTTAGGAAGGCTTGTGGGAGGGACAAGCAATCTGTCTCAGGGCAGGGTTCACTAGAGTTCTCTTTCCCTGGTGGTCGAGCGACTGATGTTTGATTTCTACATCCTGCAGTTATTTGGGAGGAAACCGTGAGACACACATTACAGTGAAGGGGCCCTAGAAACTGAAGTCGGACTGAGAAAGTAATGGGTGGCAGCCTCTGCCTGGGAACATGGTGGGAGAAGTGGTTAGGATCCAGGAGGCGTGAGAAGCTGCTGCTTCCCCTGCCTGTGGCTCCTTCCCTTTTTTGTTTGTTTGTTTTTGGTTTTTTTTTTCCAATCCAAAAACCTAGGAGTAAGGGATATGGTACTAGAGTTGACTGGGATCCACAAAGGGTAAAAGGTCTTGAGACTGGCCACCTGGTCCTGGATGGTGGGTGGCCCAAGGGTGGAACTGCAGACACTAACTAGTCCAAGAGCTGTCCCCAAGTAGATGCTTTTTCGGGTTTGTGGAGTCACGCGCCCTCTTGTGGATTTCTGGGGAACAATTGCTATGTTCCTCCTGACAGGCTCTCAAAACTGCCAAGCTCCAAAATGAACAAGGCCCCGACTTTGAAGGTAAAAGCTGGTGGATAATGCATCATACCATGCAGACGGGTGGTACACAGAGGATTTTCTCACCTCCATTTTTAATGGCCTCTGTAGCAGCAGCTTAGAGACTGTTCCAGGCCCAGCCTGATGGGGAAGCTGTCCTAAGCAACCTCCACCACAGGTGGATCTTCTGCCTCAGGTATGTGAAAGCGGAGGGGTTGGGACTGGCTTTCTTCCAAAGCCTCCACTCTATCCACATCCCCAGGCTACTATTAGTCTGAAAGGACAGGCCCAAGACAAGAGGATACAGCTGCAAATAAGGTTCACATTCATGGGTGGTGAGGGACAAGGAGAAGGCCTTACAATGTAGAATGGAAGGCTCCTTCCCTCTGCAGAAAAGGGGTTTTCCTATCCCTTTGTATAGAATGAGTCACGATGGTGCTGAACACCAACAGGACAGGCCTCCACAGAGGGTTCTCATCTTAGGTTTGGAGCAGACCCACCCCGTCTCTGCCAGCCAGCAAGAAACTCCACCAGGAAACCATGGGCTTTCTACTGGAGCAAAAGACTAAGGACAGCAAGGAAAGTAGCTCTCTAAGTCCGTCCTCTCCACCTTCACCTTGAGCCCCAGCTACAGAGAGATACCTGACGGGCGGAGATGGCATCAGTCATTCTATTTCTTGCAAAGTCATTGGCGTGAAGGGAAGGTCCAGGACAGGGACTCTGCATTCTGGGGATTGTGGGCCACCAAGTGTCTCAAGTTCCTTATAACACTTTGCCTGGGTTCATGAGACCTCGGGGATCCAGTGTGTCTTTGAGCTGCCGCATAGTCTCCATACCCACGGTGCCCACTTCTTCCTGCAGCAGCTGCCTCTTCCCCAGCCCGATGCCATGCTCTCCGGTGCATGTGCCATGGAGTGCCAGGGCACGCCTAGGAGGTCAATTGAAGGAACCCTCAGCAGCCTGCTCTCTGCCTCTTCCCTCCCCCAACCCCTCCCCCTCCCTGGCTCAGCCCTTACCTGCCCAGGTTTTCTGCAAAGGCCTTGACCCTGCTCTGCTCCTCCGCGTCATCTGGGTCGACCAGCATGATGCAGTGAAAATTGCCATCACCCACATGCCCAACAATGGCTCCTGGGGGAACCAGAGAACAAAGCTGTCATCCCAAGCCTCCTTGCCAGGGCCGTGACTGACCCCAATGCCTCCCAAACAGCAAGTATGTAGAACCGAACCTGTGAGTTTTGAGGCCTTAATCTCCTCCTTGGTCTCTACCACGATCTCTGGCAACCGAGAGATGGGCACACACACGTCCGTAGAATAGGCCTGAATCAGAAAGCAAGCTTGAGTGAGTCTCCCTAGCATGCATTGCCTATCTACAGGTAAGGACACTATGGCTCAGGCTAAGCACCAGTCCAGGGGATCTTGATGCCATAGAATGAAACATCTGTCCTTGGTGTGTTCATTATCCCAGGTCTTCACTGCCCCTTTTTTCGCCTGGACAACACGAAGGTTCCCAGCACCCCACACTACTGAGCTACATAATCTTGCCCAGAGCCCAGCCTTCTCTTCTGGGTGGACTGCCTCCTTCTGATCCATTTTATCCCCTAGGAGGTCTTTCCTCCATGTTTAATATTCCAAAGGGCTCATCACTGCAGCTGGAGCTGGCTCACATGAAAAAAAATCCCATGTTTTGGACATATAACCTCTCCCTCTAGGCTGGTTGGAATCTAGGTGCAAGGTGCAATGGTCTATAGTCCTGATCCTCATGTCCACTCAGCTAGCCCTTGGTGAGCCTCAGCCTCCTTGCAGTAAAGTAGTGGGTTGAGGGAAGGGATTATGGGATGGGCAGAACTGCAGATTCCACCTCCACCCCAGCCCCAGCTCACCTTCCGTCCAGGGGACAGGGCCAAGACTGCATACCAAGCATTGTGCCGTGCTGCCCAAAGCTGGCTGCGCTCTTCAGCCTCCTTGGCCCAGGAGAAGTGAGAGCCCCCATTATCCTGAGTGATTGCCTCTGTAGTGGGAACAGAAAGGCCGATCCTTAGTCGTGCACTAGGACAGCCCAGGCCCCACGGCACCACCCTCCCCAGCATACCTGTGCGTTGTAGCTGTTCTGCTAATGACTGCTGGGAGCCATGGAACTCCAGGAAAAGTGTGGGTGCCACAAGGCAATTCAGTTTGCTGTGCCTGTTGCAGGCATCCATCATGACGTCATCTAGGAACTCTGGAACCAGGGAGGAGGCTGGTTAGGTGAGCCCTGGCCTTCTGTGGGGCCCTTTTCTGTAGAACCCACTCCCATATGACCCAGTCCTTAGCTCACCAATACGGGCCACAGGCACTGCAGACTGGAGGATCTGAACTGTGCTGTCCACTGCAGCTTGAACACTGGGGAATGCACAGGTAGCTGCCACTGTGGCCTCAGGTGCAGGGTGCAGACGCAGGGTGGCAGAAGTGATGATGCCCAGAGTCCCCTCCGAGCCCACAAAGAGTCCTGTGAGATTGTAGCCAGCCGAACTCTTCCTGGGCCCAGGGACACGTAAGGTACAGGTGAGTGCCCAGGGCACGTGAGTGATTTCTGTCTAGAAGCCTAAAGCTAGAAGACAGGATAGGACTGATCTCCTACAGCCCCAGTTGTCATCACAGTGATTTAATGACCCAAATAGGCCTTGCACAGGGAGAGTCACTGTCACTGGCCCTCCGGACAGTTCCAGGGCCTTCCTAAGTATCACTCACCCATGCAAAAGGCCCTGAAACAAGGGCAGGTGGTGCTCACCTATAATGGCGGCCCCGGCCTGCAGTATGAAGCAGTCTGCCATCGGGCAGCACCACCTCCAGATTGATCACATTGTGGCGCATGGTTCCGTAGCGCACAGCATTGGTACCTGAGGCCCCAGTGGCTGCCATGCCACACAGAGAGGCATCTGCACCTGGGTCTAAAGGAGAAAGTGCCGGAGAAGGAAACTTGGGAAGCTTTATCCCTTTTGTGGGAAAGATGGGGGTCTTTGAAATTCCCAAGACAGCCCCCCCAAGGCCTCAGGACCCTGAGGAAGTGGTTAGTCCCAGGCCTACCAACAGGAAACCAGAGGCCACTGTCACGCAGGTGGGTGTTGAGAGCTTTCCGGGTGACGCCAGGCTCCACCACCACAGAGAAGTCTTCTGTATTCAGCTCCATGATTCGATCCATATGGGTCAGGTTGATGCACACGCCACCCTGGTAGCAGAGATGCCAAGAAGGCTACCCAACTAGGTCTCTAGGCCAGGCGCAAACCCCAAGACCCCATTCTGTGACTGAGCCCCCCCCAGACATCACACCACAGCTCTAGGATGACAGGTGGAGTAGCCATAAATGTGCCATGTGTAATGGGCCTGGACACAGGACACCCCACTATACCTGCACAGCACAGACTCCCCCTTCAACACCGGTGCCAGTGCCAAATGGGATGATGGGAACACCTTGGTTGTAGCACAGGGCTGCCAGTTGGCTGACCTGGTCCACATTCTGAGGCCACACCACAGCATCAGGAGGTTGACACCTAGAAGCGGGGAGGCCTCAGAAGTCTTGGAAGGTGTGGCAGCCCCTCGCCCTCTCATTTCCAGGAACCTGGAGTTTTCCAAGGACCTGAGGCCTGGGCCTCAGCAGAAGGGGATAGAGAGCACCTCTCTAAGGAGCATGTCAGCACATTCCAAACACATGGCAAGAGACAAGGACAGCCCAGGACCCTCAGTCCCAGCAGCAGCTTCTGATACCTGTGCATTGACTCATCGTGCCCATGATGCTCTCTGACGGCACAAGCAGTAGAGACATGGGGGCTCCCTACAACTGCCCTCAGAGCCTCCACAAAGTCCTGGCTGAGTCCTCCCTGCGGGGAAGGAACAGTGCAAGGGTCATAAGAAAGATAACAGGAGCCACAACCCTGCCCTGTGGCAGAAGAATGGGAGCCCGGCACATTGCACGATGACGTCACAGAGCCCCGAGAAGTTCACACCGGGCTCCGCACCCTCCAGGATCCCATACACACATACAGATATACCTGTGACCCCCTAGAGCAGTAACCCCTCCAGGGAGACAGCCTCTGGGTTGCCACTCGAAGGAGCTTAGCCATAACCAGACCACAGCAAAGTGAGAGTACTAGGAAGGGGAGGAGGCAGTGCCAGTCAGCCTCCAGCCACGACCAATGGCTGTACTGGGTGGAGCCTGCTTAAGGTGGAGCTAGCTTAAGGTGGTCCCTGCATATCTGGAAAACGGACAGGAGCTGCTTTTGTGACTTAAACGTCAACAGCTTCCTGTAGCCCTTCAAGCACCAACTCCTTGTGTGGAGACTTTAAAAAGTCCCACTGATTCCTTGAACTTCGTCTACACTTCCAACTTCCTCCTCCATCTCTAGGCTCTAGTTTACCTTTTCATTCCAGAGCTCAGGCCAGGTTCATGACCTTGGCACATGCACTGCACCCTGAGGCATAATATGCCTGCGTATGAAATAAGTATCACAAACAGAATGCAAACAGGGATCAAGGTCCGAAGACATTCAGTTAATGTCAGACAACCCAGGGTATGAGCCATTTCTCCATAACTCTTGGCTTTAGTTACTTTAGAAGAGTTGGCAAGATAACCATTTTTTGTTGTTTTTGTCAGCTTTGACAGAGATTCTTACTACAGAGCCCAGGCTGGCCTCAAAGTTGCAATCCTCCTGCCTCAGGCTCCCAAGTGTTGGGATTACAGACAGGCAAGCACTTACCACGCCCAATGTGACTTCATTTCAATTTTGACTCTTGTCAAAACAGTGTTTCTCTGGAGACATCACTGATTAACTGATGGTTTGGTTTCAACACAAGAATGGAATCTGTTCTGCTTGGTCCGATCTGATCCCGTGTTTTGTGCAAAAGGGGGCAGGGTGACAGGCATTGTGATTTGAATGAGAATGGCCCCATAGGCTCATATATTTAAATGCTTGGTCCCCAGTTGGTGGAAAGGTTTGAGAATGATTAGAAGGAGGTGTGTCATACATTTCCAGTTAGCTTCCTCTGCCTGGAGCTCCTGGATGGGATGTGAGCTCTCAGCTACTGCTCCAGCACCAGGCCTGCCTGCCGCTGCCATGCCCCCGGCCATGATGGTCATGGACTCTAACCCTCTGAACTCTAAGCCCCCAATAAACTCTTTCTTCTATAAGAGTTATGGTGTCTCATCACAGCAATAGGAAAGAAACTAAGACAGATATCAAGGAGTTAATGCCAATAAAACCCTTGGTGGTCAATTTTAAGCAACTGATAGGCGTGAAAGGAGGGCCTCTTAGGTCAGGCATGCCTAGAGTCCACCTATTTGTCCTGTGATAATATCTTGGAATCTCAAAAACTTAAGTTTAATGGAAGCAGAGGCAGGAGGATCTCTGTGAGTTCAAGTCCAGTCTGACCTACAGAGTGAGTTCCTGGAAAGCCATGTCTATGTAGAGAGATCATGTATATGAGAGAGAGAGAGAGAGAGAGAGAGAGAGAGAGAGAGAGAGAGAGAGAGAGAGAGAGAGTTTCAGGAAAGCCAAGGCTGTATAATGTCTCAAAAAAAGAGAAGAGGGGAATATAGTTTTTTTTTTTTAAACTGCAATCAACAAAAGCTGGAAATTAAGTACTTATTTAACTAGGTATTCCATTAGACATTAGAATGACGTCTAATGTTTTTTGTAGTTGCTAGGCAGCACTGTTCAGAGTGCACAGTATTAATGAACATCTTTGTTTAAAGAGAATAGCTAGGAGAACTAGAGGGATGGCTCAGCTTGGTGCTAGCTGAGCTTAGCAACCTGTGTTCAATCCTCAGCACCGACAGGTGTTACACACACTCTTTCCTGCCATCCTGGTCCCACAGTCGCATTAGCCCCAAATAAGCACACAAATGCTACATTAGTTATGAAACTAGTTGGCTGACGGCTAGGGCTTCTTATAGGCTAGCTCTGTCTTAATTATTAACCTATAACTACTAATCTATTTATTTCTGCATGGTCTTATCTTACTGGAGAATGCCTGACATGTGCCCTCTCTCCCCAGGATCACATGGCAACTCCTGCTTGCCTGCCTACCCTTCCCAGAATCCTCCTCATCTCCTAGTCCAGCCTATCTCCCTGCCTCATTGGCCAGGCAGCATTTCATTCATCAACCAATAAGAGAAACATATACAGAGTAGTATCTTCCTTTAGACAGGGTGAAGGAGAGAAGGGCTCCAGCCAGTTGTCCTCTGACCTATACACACATGCTATAATACACACACACACACACACACACACACACACACACACACACACACACACAGTCACATCTTTTTCCTCTGCCTCAGTTTCCAGAATTAACATTCAAAAGTTAAAACAGTCTACCAGGAAGCAAGCTCATAGTAACATTTCATTTAGTTGCCAGGTAATGGTGGTGCATGACTTTAATCCCAGCACTCCTGAGGCAGAGACAGGCAGATCTCTGAGTTGGAGACCAGCCAGGTCTACAGAGAGTTCCAGAACAGTCAGGGCTACACAGAGGAGACCCTGTCTTCCAGAAAAACAAAGACAAAAACAAAACAAGCAAACAAAAAACAAACAAACAACAAAAACACCATCAGCATACAAAAGGGTGATCAAAATTCTCCCTAGAGGCCACCAAGATAGTAAAAAAGTTAACCTTCTGTATGGTTACACAAATCACAGTGAAGATCTGAACACCCTCACTTCTCTGTCTCAAGTGGTTAAACAGAACCCCAGTTGGCTCAACAGAGACCCCCACCCAATTTCCAAATTGATAAGGCCTGTCATAAAACGGCATAATATCCCAAATGGTTCAACAGAACTCAAACAGTTCAGAGTTCTAAAAAAACAAAGTCAGTCACCACATAGCAATTACCAAAATGGTTCAAAATGAATCTAACTAGCTCAAAGGAGCCCCAAACCAACAGGAAAGCAAAGCCTGGGGTGCACTGAATGGAAAGAAACAAATACTCATTTCTCTGCTTTGTCCAGTAGAAGTAAAATACAGCTGATGCTCCTGACATGAGAAGATAAGGGAAAGTCCCTGGGATAACGTGACTCCAGCAGGTGCATGGGACCTTTCTTAATTATCTGAGGTCAATTTGTTCCAAGTGGCTGACACCAAAAAAGTTTCTGTCGTCTTGGTCATGTCACTGACATTGTGACTTGGAGTTAGTAGTTAGGGCCAGCGCCTGAGCCCTGGCATCACCTAACAAGCCAGGCTTAGCCACCCATTCCCAACAGGCCACTTAAGCAAACAAATAATACTGAAAAGAAGAGTAAGATGTATTAATGTGGCCACATTAGGAAGAGGAGCCAGGCGGTCCAGTGACTCACCCACCTCCAGGCCATCTTTGGGGTCCTAGCAAGAGGTTTAAGTTTAAGTAGAGGGTAAGAGGATGAATACGCTAATCAGTGCTAGTTGAGGTGAGGTCCCATCCATCATCACTGTCTCAGTTCCAGTCTCTCCTGCCAGGTGGTCTGACACAGTGTCAGTATAGTATGAAACCTCTTTTTGGGAGACAAGCTCTGCCTCTGGTTGGCACCAAAATCCCAGCCTTTTGCTCTTCCCAGCTTGAGGTCCATTATCCAATAGCCTGATAGCCTAAGGGAGAAACTGAGTATCAGTTTATAATATCTTCATTCCTGTAAGGATGGTTACACAAACACATCACTTTTAAATAATTAATTTCACTCTTTGGTCCCTGAAGGTCCCTGTTCATCTCATAATGCAAAATTCATTTAGCCCATCCTTAAAATTCCCAAAGTTTTAACAGTTCCAAAGTTGTTCAAAAGCCCTAACATCTCTGAAATCATGGCAATCTCTTAACTGTGAGTCCATATAAAATAAAACAAGCTACACACTTTCAATAAACAATGGCATGGAATAAACATTTCCAGTCCAGAATGGAAGAGTGGAAAGATAGCAAGGAAATATTTACTAAAGCAAGATCGAAACCCAGCAGGGCAAACACCAAATTCTGCAGCTCCATATCTGACATCTGGGACTCAAGATGGAACCATCTGGACTCTTAACAGCCTTGGACAGCTCTGCCCATCTAGCTCTACTGCCTGAAATACACATTCCCTCTGTCTTAGGCAGGCTCCAATCCCATGCCTGCAAATTTTCTCATGAGACATCCCGAGGTCCTGACATCTCCAACATCCTAAAGCCTCTGTTTCCCGTTAGGCTGCACCTTCAGACCTTTACATGAATCTGACTCTGCCACACATTGAATGGCTTAGGCAGTTTCTGGAACTTTGGCATGATCTTTACAACCTCCTTACTCTTGCATCTTTCTTATCTTCAAAACCAGAACTACATAGGCAAGTTCTCTTTCCGGCTTGAGATATATCTTGTCCCCTTGGGAACATAGTTGCACCAGCCTCTGTGTGCCTTCCAGGCTGACCCAGTAAAAATTCTTCCCTGGGCAGCCGTTTCGGAGCAGAGAACCCCTGTGATAGCATTCTTTAGGCTTTCCATTTTCACAACTTGGAGCCTTAGATGGGTGGGTTGATGGGAGATGTCATTCTGTAAATATGTTTCTCATGCTGGTTAATGAATAAAGCACTGTTGGCCAATAGGAAAGCAAGACAGGTGGGACTAGAGGACAAGGAGGATTGGAGGAAGTAGTAAGGAGGAGTCAAGATGGAGAGTCTGGAGAGAACAGAACCGCCAGCCACCTCTCCCTGGTAAGACCACGTGGAAATACATAGAAATGGGTTAATAATTAAGATAGAGCTAGCCAATAAGAAACTAGTACCTGGCCAACAGCATTATATCAAATACAGAGTCTCTGTGTGTTGATTGGGGCTGGCGTGGTGGTGGGACAAGACCAGCGGCGGCGGGCAGAAAAACCTTACTCCTTACAGTGGGTCTTTGCCTTCAGGGCACCTTACCTGTTATCCCAGTGCAGAGAAAGAGGCACAACTATAACAACTATAATGGCACTAAAATCTTCAGCAATTTCAGGTGTTTTGTCTATACCCTTCTTGTTTGTAGCTTTAAATTTGCTAACACTTCTTCCTCACCAGAACAAACATTTTCCATCTTTCTGTGTCTCACTGTGTATCTGAGTAAGAGCGTAACCAGATGACAGTCTGAATTCTGTCTTTAAACTTCCTCCACCAAACAAATTAGCCCTTTAATTTAAAATTCAG